GCTTGAAGTTGAGGGGCTTTGTTCCTGATTGTGGCTCGTAGAGTTTCGATTCGTCACGTTTGTGGTCAGAGATCTTATTTGTTTCTCAAGTGAGGAGAATTTGTCCTCAAATGTGTCATGTGTCCAATATTTTTTTGTGAAGATCATTAAACAGAGTGATTCAGAATGGTGTAGGTCTTGTGTTGAACTGTGGTGACTAGCGTTCTTCAAGTTGTAAATTTCATGTTTTAGCTCTTCGTTTTTCCGCAGCATGTTCACACTCAACAGATAAAGTTGAGACTGTTGTCGTTATCTGAGTGATAGTTAGATTCAGGTCAGCAATACTATAGTAGAGTGTATCTCTGCTTGAAATTTTGAGTGTCTCAATCTCCTCTGCATTAGCTTTTAGCTGCGCAATATAGCTATCACATTTTTCCTGTAAGCTTACTAGTTCTTTCCGTTTCGACTCAAGTTGTGATTCAAGTTTTGTCTGTGGCTGCAGTGGCGCTATCGGTAGAACAAGTCCTACTGTCCTTGTGTCCTGACAGTAGTTTTTTATGAGAATCTTCGTAGCAGATAACAGAGTAGTCTCATACAATTAAGTATCATAAAATTCATCAATATTTGTGATAAAATTCGAGATATTGACTTTCGCCATCGAAAGGTTTCAATAGTTGTTCAATGAATTTCAAATTTTCACCCATTTTGAACTATTTATTCAAGTAATCAAGTAAAATTATAAATAAGGTTTGTTTGTTCAGATTTTTGCCTTATCTAATAAAAGATTTGAAAAATTTAAAATTTTCGAAAAATATTCAAACATTTTGTTCCTTTTTCAGTAAATCAATGATTATACAAAAATAATCCAAAATGCCTCAACTATGAAACACCAATCACAAAATGTAAAAAGATGAGATTACCTACTTACTGTGACAATACAATGCCTGTAGCTCTTTTCCACACGTTGGTTTTTCAATGTTTTTTATTCTCAGTTAACTTATTGTTATTTAACAAGTCAACACAATCATTTATGTAAATTACTACACCACCAGTGTGCCTGTTTTCACTGTTCGCCATGTAAACTTTATAATTCAAAATTCAAACTATTAATTTCAAAATCATTTATATAATCTGTGAGTCTTGTATCTGTTAAACATATTGCCATAGGCTTTATTTCCAATATAAAATTGTGAATTTCCTCAAACCTAGATAAAAGACTTGAGAATTTATCAAAATTATGTCCCTATTTCTCTAAAAAATGCTTCCTAGCAGAAATGTTAATCATTGAAGTTACTACCCTTTTTTTGGCACCTAGCGTTATTTAATATCAAATTTTGTATTGCCCTTGCTACTTTGATTCTCTTTCCAAATTTAAGTCCCAAACTGTTACTACCTTGAGCATCATAATAACAATTTGAAGTATTTACAATAATTGCATTAAAGTGCACGAAAAATTTAGCATTCGGTATAATTTGTGAAAATACCATCGAACAATACCTCATTATGATTATTTATAAAATTATTCACAACCTGATTATTGTTCTACAAAGGAACCGTAAAGAGTATTTTTTATAGTTATAGTTTGGAGGGAGCAGTAGACCCTGCAACCCTGCCACATTTATTATCTAGAGCATTTACATAATAGTAACTATTTCAATTGTAAACTTAGGGTAACTATGGAAATTCATGCTAGTTATTTGATTTAGCAAACAAGTATAGTAAAATACCCCGATAATACATCGAGAAGCAAATAATATTGCAGCTTACCATCTAGATGACTGAACACCCGTATATGCAGCCACAGCAATAATACAGAATTTTATATCCACAACAATCTTTAAATACTACAAAAGATACCTAAATTCTACATCCTATGTCTATATTACATTCAATCCATCATTAATACCAGAAGCAATGTCCCCCTTACGCTCGCAACACCCATAGCTAGAAATTAAAGTTTAAAAAAGCTTCTTGAATAATTCATTTTTTTCAACAATATATGATCTACATTTTTTTTTGAATATACTAATTTTAGTAGAGTTTCTAAATTCAACTGGTATGAGGTTATAAATTTTCGGTGCAAAATAGTTTAAAGATTTCATATTCAGGTTGGTATTACTCTTCGGTATTTGGATAAAGTCATTAGTCTTATTTCTTGTCTGGTATTCATGACTCACAATTCTTTTCATTTCCTTATTCTTGAATACAAAAAGGCTCACTTCCATTACATACACAGATCGCACATCCAAAACCTCCTTAGAATACAACATCCTTGTGGGGTAGAGCCTATTTTTTTTTGAAATTACTTTGAGTAGGTATATAATTTTGAACAACACATAATGGATATAAGGCACTCCTATACATGCCGCCTCATACAACAATACCATATCTCAACAACGATTCTACAATAATAGCTCTATATACCGATATTAGTAACTTTTTATTTAGGATATTCCTCAAGATATAAAATTTATACAGTAATTTTCTGATATTTGTAGTCAGTTTGAGTACATGCCGGTCCCACTTCAGGTGCCTGTCAATTATTATACCCAAATATTTAGTCTGAGAAACCTCCCCAATAAACTTATTCGAATTCTCAACATGAATACTATCAAAATGAGGGCGGTTGGCCATGGTTATCGAAAAGGCTATCTAATTCGTTTTTTTATAATTTAAAGTTAATTTGAAATTGTTCAGCCAGTTCTGTACTGTATTAAGTCCATTACTTACACTCTGTTTTACTTCCTCCCAGGATTTTGCGGAAAATATTATGGCTGTATCGTCTGCATACGAAATTATTGTACCATCTTTTAGTTTAAGCTTAGTTAGTGTATTTATGTATATTAAAAATAGTATTGAGCCCAACACTGTTCCCTGCGGCACCCCTATTTTAATGTTCAATGGATCACTTAAGGTATCCATTATTTTCACATATTGCACTCTTTGATTCAGGTAACTTTTGAAGACGTCCAGCGCGATACCTCTAATCCCATTCGCTTCTAGAATTTCCAGAAGTAATTGATGAGGAACCGTGTCAAATGCTTTCGCCAGATCCAAGAACACTGCTATACATTTTTCATTTCTGTCAAGTTTGTCCGTTATGTGTTTTGTTAGATGGTAGAGAGCATTTGAGGAGCTTAAGCCACTCAAAAAACCATATTGTTTTGTTGATAATATTGAGTTTATTTGTAAAAAATTGATGACCCTATCCTTAACGCACTTTTCAAAAATTTTTGCGAAGTTATTTATAATATTTATTGGACGATAGTTAGGGACCTTTGTCTTATCATCTGCTTTATATATTGGTGTAATCATAGATATTTTGAATTGCTCAGGAATAGTGCCTTTTTCAAAAATTAGGTGTATTATATGGACAAGGGGGTCCAGCAAAAAAAGATGATTTTTTTTGATAATTTTTACATTAATTCTGTCAATACCAGGACTGCTGTTGCTTTTTAAAATATTTATTTTTTCTATTATTTCATTTTTATTTACTGGTTTTAGATATAGCGATTTTAGTTGACTGTTATTTTATATTCATTGTCGGCCTTCGGAATTTGATTCAGCATATCCAAAGCCACATTATTGAAAAAATTGTTGCAATAATTTGCCATGTCCTTTATATTTGCAAAATCATCCGTGTTACTATTTAGTATAGGTAGAGGGGAGTTGTTAGTTTAATCTGGGACATTATTGGTAGCCTCCGATATAAGTTTATATACTTTTTTTAGATCATTCCCTGCCTCTTTAACCTCATTCTGATAATATTCATGTTTACACTTTTCAATGATTTTTTTAAGATTATTCCTATAAGCTTTAAATATTTTGTCGTCCCTTTCATTAAAGTTTTGTGATAATTTCTTTTTCATCTTATCTCTATTTTTTATGCTCGAAATCAGACCATAAGTGATCCACGGCTGTCTTTTATTAAACGGTTTAACATTAAGATTTTTACGAACAACGGTAGATTGCTGAAGTAATGCGCGAATTATCCTATAAAATTCGTCCGTTGCTTGGCTTACATCCAAACTTTCTAAAACTGTATTCCAGTTTTCTTTTTGAATTAAGCTATTGAAAAGTTTTTCATTTATTGTTTCAGTATTTTTTTTAATGGGGTGCTTTTAACTTTTATATCTCGCAGTTTATTTCACTAATATTCAGCATTACCGGATCATGATCAGTCAGGTCCGAGTTAATTATGAAAGAGTCAAACTTAAAGTTAGTTAATTTGATTTTATTTCTAAGAAAAATATGGTCGAGGCATGATCCCATTCTAGTTGGCGCATTTATGCATGACAGAAAGCCTAGATGATTAAAAATAGACAAATAAGAGTTCACCATTTTGTCATCTCTATCCAGGATATTAATGTTAATATCACCCAAAAATAAATCTAAATTACCTCCCCTAATTTGCTCTAAATAATTTTCAATTTCTTCTAAAAATATCAGTCTATTATTTGTATCAGGTGATCTGTACGTGCATATTATATTAAATAAATAAATGTCTTTTTTCAGTGAAATCTTACTCACCGTTACGTCACATCTTTTCAGTAAGGTATGTTTAATTTCACATATTAAAGTTGACCTAATAAACATAATAATACCATCATTCCTATTGTGCGTGGCCTCATTAAAGAACATATTGTAGCCTTTTATATTATATTGACCATCATAGCTTAGAAAGCTTTCACTCAAAATTATAATATCACAATGGTGAAGTTCATATGCCTCAAAAGTGACCAAAAACTGGTTGAAATTTTTGTGGATACTCCTAATATTTAAATGTATCACATTTAAAAATCTTTTGTCTAAATTTATTTTATTTGTTATTTCATTACCCGATATTTTCTCCTGAATCATATCAATCTCTAGCGACTCTAGATTTTGAAGAATTTCTAATTCTGGTAGGTTATCCGCCATTTTTAGTACCATAATCTATCTTGGATCGGAGGATATTTATGTGATATTGATGGGATAGACAGTTTACATCGCTTGCTTCATGATTGACATTGTATTTCAAGTTACCTATACTTTTCATTGGCTATCTGACAGTTATTACATTTTTTGTTCAATTTCAGACAGTCTTTAATGTTATGATCTCCCGCACAAACTTCGCACACTGTTGTATTGGGACATGTGTCCATTCTGTGGTAATACTGTTGACAATTGAAGCACCTGGGTATACCCAAGTCCTCAACAACACTGTATCGTTGCCAGTCTATGAATACTTTCTTCGCTGTCATTAGTTTTCGGAACACGTCTGGAGGGCACTCTCCAAACACTGTATTTAGAGCATTCAGTTTTTCAGGTCTTTTTATATAGGTAATTTTTATATTGTCTTCTTCATCTAAAAAATCATTCTGTTCCCTGATAGCTTGCGCAATCTCTTGTTCATCAAGATCACTATCAATTCCTCATTTTGGATATCTGCACCTCATAACCCTTCAGCTTACTCTCAGCTTCTTTTTTCAGGATATCTACGTCAGATTTATTGGAGCATTTAATGACCATACCACCATTTTTGAGGATTCTTGTTCCCTTAATGGACACTTTAAGCTCCGAGGGTTTAATGTTTCGTTTGACATCAACATTGGTTTTATTGGAATCTTGATGTTGTTTAGGTTTTATGATAATACTGGGTATATTGGGGCCGGCGGAGACTTCAGGGATATGTCTCTCATTTCCTTGCAGTATTGTGCTGTATGAGGGAGGCAAAATGTTTGGTGGCCTGTTTTCAAGCTCCGCTATTTTCTGACGTAGCATCGATATTATCTCATTCTTTGCCATTATGATGTTAATTTTGTCATCGATGGTTCCTTGTAATAGGGCATGTGTTTCAATTTTTTGACACTTCTCACAGTAATATTTCATTTTTCTTTCTCTCAGCTCCATCACCTTTACCTCAGATGCAGTAAGTTGGGAGCACTGCTTACAAATTCTACTTTTGCATATGTCACAGGGGAAAATGGGATTTTTAATTCCCCCTGCCTCTCCGCAGTCATTGCACGCCATTTCAGTTGCAATTGCGATTTATAAGTACATTCTTCGTGTTGGCGGTGACCCTGAGCTTGATTGTGTGTCTAGTGAGGAGGCATGCCCAAGGCCAAGGCTTATCGTATGCTTTGGAATTTGTTTTTTTTCCTAGGTTGTATTATTCTTTATTTTTACACATTTATTTTCACGATTTTCTCGAAGGGTATAGTTTTTTTCACAGAATCTTCATATAACCCGTATAGATAGAAGTCAAAGGATGCTAATGATATCACACACTTCTATTCTATTACACTTTTTTCAGTAGAAAATTGGACTTCAATAGGAGCGAAATTCATGTATATACATAGTTTAACAATTTTTTTGCTACTTTATTAAATTTGTTTGTTCACTAACTATTCTAAGACTCTGAATTACATCCTGTTTAATATGCACACGTTTTAAGATATTTATGAAACCGCCTATCACAATCACAAAATATTTTTTTGTTAAATGTTTGGTTAATTTGTTTCATTTTCAATTTTTGATTATTTGATTAAATTTAATTTTTACTGTTAAGACATTGTAAATTAGGGGTTTATTTTTCCCGGGTCATTACAGTAAGCAATATTGTAAGCACATTACAATATTGCTTACGCTTTACTGTAATGACCCGGGAAAAATAGACCCGTAATTTACAATGTCTTAACAGTAAAAATTGAATGTAATCAATTAATCAAAAATTGAAAATGAAATAAATTATCATTGACCCAAATTAATTAAAATTAATTTGATTAAAATAACTTTCAAATTTTATTATTAGTTTAGTCACCAGGCGTGTGTCATCACATAAATCAAATCCATAAAAAGATTTAAAACAAGGGCAAAGTAATTAAATTGGTGACTGAATGACAGATTTCATGATTAACGGCCGACACGAGTTTTCGGCATCCTTTGAGTTATTCGTCCTCACATTCTTTCATTCTTAAATCAAATCTGTTGACCCCGATAATTCAGGAAATTGCGACATAATTATTCGGTTTTAAACAAATAAATTATATTTCCTAGAAAATAAGAACGGTCAATGGCCAGTGTTGTGTAAAGTGGCCACGAAATATTTTGGTGGGAATGAAAAAAATTAAAAACAGCGGTTTCGGAATTTGGGAATCAGTTTAAAGTCCAGTTCAAATCAATTCAGCCTTAGGGTCTTCAGTCTACAGTAAGATTAATGAGTCAGTCCGGATAAAATTCGCGAAGAGTTTCTTCTATTTTGTTGCCTCGGAAAAACGCGTTAAATCGAACTTCGAAAAAGTAACGGAAAATTGTGAAAGAAAGAACATTTAAATTCGTTCAACGTTCAACATTATGTGCGAGCTCTAAATAATCAAAAAAAATGAGAATAATTAGGTAAGTGACTTAAAGGGCGATAATTTAAATGTAAGTCCTCTAGTGACAAGTTTTATTTTGACTTTTTCAATGTTGAAATGACTATGAAGTGAATCGATTAATTATGAAACTTTATTTACGACTAATGTATAATGTGCGTATTATATTTGTGATTTTGGCAGTATAATGACATATGTTATTCCTCCAGGGATTAATGACGAGTAGCGGGATTAATGGTCATTATTCCACAAAAGTGTCAGTGTCAAACTTGTAGTGCTTGTGGATTTGTATTGAAAATTATGAGACGGATGAAATTTGTTCATTGAAAATCTCAAAAAAAATAATTTGTCGTAAATAAAGTAGAGTATACTACTCGCAATAATGGCTATTATTTCCTCGGAATGTTACTCCCTCGCCGCTAACGCGGCTCAGTTCGTAATAATCCTCGGGAATAATATCTATCATTATTGACTCGTGGTATAATCTACTATTATTGCATAAATATTAATATCTTGAATTGACTTTGAATATTTTTATGCTTAGTTTAAGATAGAGAAATTTAATTCAAATGACTGTTAATTGAAATGAATTTTACTGAAGAGTTTGGATAATCGAATTGACTGTTTTGTTCCGTTTAGTAAATGATTAGTTAGATATTTAGGTTTCCGATTAAATGAATTTTGATTAAATGTTCATTGTTTTGATAGTATTTACTCTGGCTAAGTACACGATTTTGAGTATAAGTAATGTACAAAATTTGGCAGTAAGCGAGTTCAGGGATTTTATACGCTTATAGAACAGCAAGTTATAATAATTAAACTAAATTATGAATTATTTATTGTTTTGAGGTGTAAAAGGTTTTTAGGATTTAAAAATATTGTACCTAAGGCGCTCACCGAAATAACGTGGCTTATGAAGTGTCGTAGATCTAGCAAGTGGCATACCCCTTATTACGTGCCATTAAATGTATGTTACTTGCCTTGTCACTTCAGTGGGCTTTTGCTTATTTGTTTATGTCCGCTTGATTTAATGTAGCATGCTAGATGTGTGCTACTTGCTAGATCACACGCCACATCATAAGCCATGCTATTTCGATGGGCGCCCTGCCTAACGTAGTAGGGCTATATGAAAGTGTTATTAAAGTACAAGGCTTTTTGATTGCATCATTTGATTTACAAGCTCAGAAACAGTGTAGAGTTGGCTGTACGGTTGCCTCAATTTAGAATTGTTTATTTTTGTTCATAAAGGTGTTGGATTAGGGTTTAGAAAATTTGTACCGTTGTTATGGAAAATAAAAATATGTTTATTTTCTTATTATTAAAGTATAATTATTAACGGATAACTATATAAATTAGTTGTTTCTTTCAATTGCAAATAGACACGCCCCCACAATTTTATTTTTCAGTAGCCGCCCATCAAGAAAAAATTACCATCAAAAACGACCGCTCGCAATTTACCAACTAACCTAAATAATAGAGTACTTGGCGCGAATGCTACACTTACAATATCCTCCATGAATGCATTTGCCCTAATGATTGATGATAATATCTTGAACTTCCTGCCCAGGCCCAGGAAACTATCCAGAATACTTCGAAAGTTACCACCTGCCAAGTTGTCACCATATATCACAATATTATGTCTCTCTTCTACCACTTTTTTTGATCCATCCACTGGCTCGCCAACGTTACGAAAAACTTCACTCTCCCTTTCTACCAATTTTCGACTGAAAAGCCTCATTATCGGCTCCTAATGCTCAGATTGAATTCAACATTTCCTCACAAGTTCCTTTAGAATCTTCAACCTGTGGTCAAGGTCTGCTCTCGAAAATGCATTCAAGATTGCATAATAGAACAGACCAAGATTGTCATCTTTCCTTAGCGCTTTGCAAAATTCCGATTGCTCCCATTAGATTATCATAAGGCCATGTTTTTAATTGTATTAAAATATTGCCTCTCAAGTCACAAGCTGTTTTTACTGGACTATGAAGATTTATGGCTGCAGTTCGTTCGGTACTTAAATAAATCAAGAAACACAAGTGCTTAGATTCAACTTCAAAAAAGTTAATTGAGACAATTTTTTTAAATAAAATAATTACACTTGTGTTGTTAAAAATATATTCATGTATTACAAGCGAAAATTATATAAGTACTACCTACTTTTGTATCACAGCCTCTATATTTTCTTTGACGAATTCAATCTTAAAAAATAATTATGATATATACATAACAGAAAAACCTAGAAGTTATATAAAACAATATTAAATTAAACAGAATAACAACAATAAAAATAACAAACTCAAATAAACAGACATTCAAAACCTTTTTACTCATCAGCATTAAGTTGTGAGATGTTAATTATGAGTGAGATGTATTTACAGAAGGATAAATTTCTCATTTTTTGATCATCTTTTGTAAAATACTTACTACACAATAAATTTTCTATACAGTGAGGGGCAAGCTACTAGGTATATAGGATGTAACCTGACGAATTTGCAGGCGTCCGCATGTCAGAAAATTACAAATCGATTTAGCGCTAACCTGGCGACAACCAAGTAAAAAGTTTCTAGGGTTGTTAATAATTTTCAAAAATACGGTTGTGTTTCTCCCTGAAACCAAACGAAATGACGTCCCGGAAAATAATGAGGATCAAGAAGCCAAATAAATTATGTTGTTGGTTGTTGGCATTAGTTAACAAAACTTCAACTATTTCGACTCGTGCGCTTGCGCAGGATATTGACTCAAGTACAAGGACGGTTAGGTGCCACAGAAAAAAAAAGTATCGTTCGTACAAAGTAAGAAACTCCCAAAAAATTGATCCTGAGGACAACATCAGGCGAATGGATTTTTGTGAAACTGTCATTAATAAGGCAAATGAAAATCAAGATTTTCTTAGAAAAATTGTCTTTACAGATGAGTCGACATTTCAACTCCATGGTCGACATAATCCTAGTCACACCCGTTATTGGTCTAAGGAGAATTTACACAGGTATTTTGAGCTTAGAGCCCAGCGTCGTCAAAAGGTAACTGTCTGGAGCGGTTTGTGTGGATAACATATTATTGGGCCGTACTTCATGGACGCTAACTTAACTGGTCCAAAATATTTGGATCTGTTGCAACGGGCCAACGGCAGATAATTCCAGAAATTGAAAGATTATCTGGTCCTATAGATTTAATGAAATATGGTATCAATAAGATGGATGTCCAGCCCATAATACGGGTTTCATTCTGGACCATTTGAATAATACTTTTCCGAACCGTCTCATTGCTGGGTCGAGAGCTACAATACTGTGACGCTCTCCCGATCTTGCACCCAACGATTATTTTCTCTGGGGTTATTGCAAATCAAAAATGTATGGTTTTCAGGAGAATCGCGCCGTGAACCTTGAGCAGCTGCGTTCCAAAATTCGAGAAATATATCTAACTGTCACCCCTGTGATGCTAAATAATATTCGTAGAGCCTTCTATGATCGTTTAGGTCATTGTTTAGTTCAAGAAGGTGGACTGGGACTGTTTGAACATTTGCTACATTGTAGTGCAAATGATAATCGAGCCAGGTTTTTGGGGTCAAAACTAGAATTTTTGTTTTTATTTTACTTAATTTTTTTTCTATTTTTTATGTTGAATATATTTTTAGTTTTTCCTGGATGGCTTTTTTAAAATACATGTTTTTTTTCCATAGATTATTGTTTCGGTTCCAAAAAAAATCTATCTATACTTACACGCCGTTTAATAATTATAAGTAAGTGAAGCTCGATGATACATCTAAAAGCACGGTCTAGATGCTACGTTTTGCATCAAGTTTTGTCTGCACAGTTCAACACGTGATCAGTAACGTAACGTCTGGACCGGGCTTAAGTCTGTAAAATCATAAAACGTACTGATGTGAACCATGGTTTATGAACGTCAAAGTCATCGAAAAAACGACAGCGGACCGACAGCGACAGGTGTTCAGACGGCTGCGGACGATCGTAAATTCGTCAAGTTGGATCCTATATACCTAGTAGCCTGCCCCTTACTGTATAATAATGTCTATGCTTTGTTTTTCACTGTGAAAACAAATAAGCACCATATTTTATCTCACGCTATACCCTGTCGGAAAGTTTCTAGATTTCCACAATTTCATGCCATAACATGTTTCAGCACACCGTGCTTCTTTAGATGGATTCAGACTAAAAATAAAAATGTAGAAATTTAGAAACTTCTTGTTTCCTTTTAAAATTTGTAATGGATTTCCATGAAAATCAAGTATCAATTAAATCAATCTCTCCTGATAGTACCGATCAACAAATTCAAAATTAATTATACATGTTCACAAACACAAGACATACACTAATCAAGTTCGCAGCTGTAAAACAATACGCCACATATCCATTTTATTTGCCTGTCTGAGTCTGATTGGTTTGTTTTTTCTGTAGGGTAAATAAATTACTTTGAGGTGGCGATTGTGGTAACATCATAATAACAGTCTTTGAGTTACTTTGGAAAGCACTCAATGGTACAGTTATTGCAGTATTATCACTATTTTCCTTGGGAAGTTGCAAAAATACTGTATTAGAGGCAAGCGGTGATGTTATTATTGGGATTTGTTTAACTTTAGATTTCACTACACCTTTAGGCACAATTGGGATATTTTTTGAGTTTTTCTTTTTCTGAGTTAAACAAACTGCTGATATTCGGGCACTCATGTCAGAGGTATTCTCGATTATTGCTGATGGTTCACTGGGAGATGATTTGGATTCTGAACAGAAAAAAAAGGATTTAAATTTGCATACATGGTGAATTACGAAGTCCGTGCATTAGATTGCAGGTGGATAAGATGCTATCACTACTAATCAACCTGCAAACTGCATGATAGGCTACTGAATCAATTTGAATTGAAATTGAACCCCCCAATTTACTGCATAAAACATATGCCTACCTTTTAATTTCTCTTGTAATTTCTTGATGGTTTGCTGCAAATTTGAGTTCAAATTACACAACTCTATATTTTGCTGCTTCAAAAGCTTATTCTCCACCTTCATATCTTCATATTCTTTTTGTTTCCTTTTCCTACATCTTGTTTGTGATACTCTGTTAGCTTCTTTCTGCCATTCTTTGGCATCAATATTTTTAATATTTTTATTTAGGTCTATCAAGTTTTTAATAGGCACTGGAATTATTGCACCAGCATTTGATTTTTTAATTATTGCTGCTTTAACCATTTCTTTTGCTACAGTTATTTTATCTTTTTCAGGATCCAGCACTATAACTAAAGGATTATCGCCCTCATCTCTCATTGGAAAATCATTATTTGGATTCGATTCACCATCATCTAGATGAGGATAAATTTGAGGTGTGTGTAAAGTGTCGTCTGATGTGATTATAGGTGTCTGTGGAGTGACTGCAGTAGGATTTTGAACTGCTTTTTTGAAGACTTCGTCAAAAGGGTTAACATTTTGGAGATCTTGGAAGAGTCCTACTTCTTCGCAATTACGGATAAATCTTGTGGGAGTTGGAGTTTGATCTGAAAACAGCATGTGAGAACTTAGGGAAATTCATTCAGAAAGAATTTCAAATAACTGGGTAATTTGATTCAAGGGTAGTTTAAAAATTTACCTGTTTCATTACTGTTTTCCAATCCCAAGTTCAGCATAATATCCTGCTTTTTCTGGTCCCATTCTGATTGATTTGTTGCAGAAAATATATCATTCGGATTAGTACTAGTTGAGGAAGTATCTGACATTTTGGTAACTTGAATGTAGTATTTCTATTCCTGATTTTCCCATATGTAATTTTTCTAAAATATGCAAATCTAAAAAGAAAATAGAAAAAAAATCCTCACAATTTTTTTTAGGGTATTTCATTTCTAGAGAAAGTGCAACACTTGTTTCGCTCTGACATCGTTTAGGTGTTTTCTTTCAAAACACCAGCAGACGACACTGCTTGTTTGCACGAGCGTCGATGTTCCGAGTAGTGAAATGTGTCCCGACCTTAAACAAGTTCCGACTGACTCCATACTGATTTTATATACAATACGAAAACGAATCGGCCTTACTTTCAAACCTTAAGATCAAGCTATTCTCTCGTGTTCAATTTTTTGAAACTGTTGCAAAACAGGTTTGAAAGAGTATATTCTCGGGATGAACTCATGACGTCACATCAAGATTGATTTAAACCGTTTCGAAATACCATCCAATCTACGTTTTGAAACCATTTTCTCGCGCCGGGACATTATGACGTCATTGTCAAAGTCTTTTAAACCAGCCTCGAAAAATTTTTCAAAACTTTAAGACGCGGTAAAACCACTGGTAAAACATCTTTTTCTACGAGTGTGCGCAAAGTAACTACTTTGCGCACACTTTTACTTACGCAAAGAAACCCTTTCCCAAAAGTGTGCGGGAAATTTTTTTTCCCGCACACTATGCACAAATTAAGTAACTACTTTGCGCACACTTTTTTTTCTGGTACTCATAATAAAATCCGGGGGCCCCCTATTTGGGGAGCAAAGCCCTGCGAGAGTCTCCTATTTGGGGGGCGGAGCTCCGCGGGAGCCCCCTTTTTGAGGGGCCCAGCCCCACGGCGGGCCTTTTTAGAGGGCTAAGCCGTTTTGACCGATTTAGATATACCTAGTTAGTTATAGCAAGTTGTTTTTGATGCCTATAAAAATTAAAAATTTAAAAAAGAAGTATAGTTATTTCACTCGTAGAAAAAATATTGTTCCTAACACGTGCGCAAAGTAGTTTTCCCGCACTTAAAGCTTATCCGAACTCCGCTTCGCGACGTTCGTCTAACTGCTTTTGTGTGCGGGAAAACATAACTTTGCGCACTGATTAGGAAAACTACTATTTTCTACTTGCGTGCGCAAAGTTATTACTTTGCGCACTCATTTGCGTGCGCAAAGTTGAACTTTGCGCCCGGAAACTCTTTGCGCACTCATCTTTGTTACGCATAGCTAGTTACCACATTTACACTCGATTTTTCAATGTTTTGTGAGTTTCTGTTCGATAAACTTATATTCAGAAAGAAGGTCCTGATGTTATTTTTGTTCCGTTCCAAGAAAGGCATTCAGGACCAGGTAATGTTTAGATTTTTTAATTTGACACTTTCCATGTAAGGAGCGAGGAGAAGAAAAATCCAGCAAAAATAGATGTGAGAATACCGGCCTTGGGCCGGTATTCTCGTTCTCGAAAACGCTCACCGCTTTTCAGTCGCTCGGCACTTTCAATGTAAATTTGCATTTAAAGTGCCGAGCGACTAGAAAGCGGTGAGCGTTTTTGAAAACCAGAATACCGGCCCAAGGTGACCGTTGACATGGGGAGTCAACTCATGCACATTCCTTTAGAGTATCAGATTATAAAAGTTGGACTGTAAGTTATACTCCTCCATATACTACCTAACTTAATGGTGCTGCGAAAAGAATGAATCAGACACCAATAGATAAAGCAAGATCTATGATAATGCAAGCAAGAATGGATAATATATTTTGGGAAGATGCTATACTTGTGGCTACGTAAAACTAATTTAACAAGTCACATGCACAGATATGGTAAATTAAGTCTCAATTTGACAGGAAAAACAAACTTAAAGACTTGTTCTAATTTTAATTACGTAAACGTCGCTAGCACAACCAATGTTGCAAATAAAGTCAAGCTGAACAGTGAACACTGGAAAAAAAAAATTGAAAACACAATACATTGAACTAGTAGATGAGAAAATTTCTAGTTTTGAGCATCTGGAAACATTCAAGAAGATTAGGTACCGCTCCTCTCTAGATGCTATGCAACTCTTCGAACACTCGTAGAAAAAGTATTGTTCCTAACACTTGCGTAACGTGTCTTTCCCGCACTCAAAGCTTATCCGAACTCCGCTTCGCGTCGTTCGTCTAACTGCTTTTTCGTGCGGGAAAGTATCATTTTGCGCACTTGTTAGGAAAATAACTACAGGGTGTCCCAATAGAAAGTGACCGATTTTAAATGCTTATAACTTTTAAACCAGGTGCGCTAGCTACCTGCGATTTGCGCTATTCGACTTTTCTGGGCCTAAATAAGTTTTTTTTCAGTTAGTTGCTAATTTTTTTCACACCTATACAGGGCAAGTAAAAAAATGCCGTTTTTCAACATCGAAATTCTCCACTATTTTTAATGGAAAACCGTATGTTGCAACGCCAAAATTAAGAGTCGTGACCAAGGTATTCATTTGCCAATAAACGTCGGCTTTTTTTGAACCTAAAAAAATGCATTTATTTTTGGGCCAGATTTCTATTTCAATTTTTCAGGGTTAAAACTTCAAGTTCCATGCCCGATGTTTATTGGTACATCAATACCTTGTACACGACTCTTAATTTTGGCGTTGCAACATACATGGTGTTAATAAAAATAGTGGGGAATTTCGATGTTGAAAAACGGCATTTTTTGACTCGCCCTGTATAAGTGTGAAAAAAATTTGCAACTAACTGAGAAAAACTTTAGGCCAAGAGAAGTCGAATGGTGCAAATCGCAGGAAGCCAGCACACCTGGTTTAGAAGTTATAAGCATTTACAATCGGTCACTTTCTATTGGGACACCCAGTATTTTGATCTTTTTGTGCTGAGGTGTTTCCACTTTTCTCGCGTCTCAAACGTTTTCCAAAACTGGTTGATCGTAACTCCTCGGCAGTGTTACCAGATTGGGGGATTTTCCCCCAAATTTGGGGGATTTTCAAGTAGATGGGGGAAAATCTGGGGGATAGTTTTTTCTGGGGGATTTTTTGGGGGTAAGAATTTTCGCTATTGGGGGAAATTGGGTATATTTCAATGAATAAAACTAAAGTAAAAAATGTATTAAAACAACTGCGCCATCTATTTTTTCAATCAAGTTCCAATAAAAATGATACAGTTTGCTTCTTCTCGGGAGGAACGCAAACGCTCAGTTCTAGATCTATTTTAATTTGTAATGACAAATGACAATTGACTTGACAAATCGGATCGGGGGAATCCCCAACGACCGACGTTGCTTGCATTGTTTATTTTTTATTTTGCGTTTTGCATTTCTTTGCGGCTATAGTGCGTAGTGCTCTAAGTTGCTGTATTCTAAATTTTAATACAGCTTAATAATATCATAATAAACTATCCAAACTTCTTGGTACAACTGTACTTATCTGTTCTGTCACCAGTCACAACATTTTATTTCATTTGTCATTTGTCAATTGTCATTTTATTTTTGGGATTAGAAAAATATAAACAAATAAAAAAGTGGTAAGGGTATGAGTTTTATTTTAAAATATTTAACGAATTTTTTTTTTTTTTTTTTTGCAAGTATGAGTCGAGAATAAATCTATATTTATTTATTTGGGGGATTTTAGTTGGCAAACAGTGATTTTTGGGGTATTTTTGAAATCCTTTGGGGGAAATTAGTTATAACCATCTGGCAACCCTGCTCCTCGGCGCGAGAAAATGGTTTTGAATTGAAGCGTGTATTGGATTGTATTTTAAAACATTTGAACCAATTTTGATGTGACGTCATGGGTTCATCTCGAAAATATTTTGTTTCAAACCTGTTTTGAACCAGTTTCTAAAAAGTGAACGCGAGAAAATCTTAGATCTCAAAGGTTTGCGGGAAGGCCGATTCTTCTCGTAGATTTTATATAAAATTAATATCGGGTCACGCGAAACACGCTTCTCTGCTCGGAACATAGACGCTCGTGCAAACGGGCAGAAACATCAACTTGTTTATCCGTATTTATTTTTCTTTTTGATCTCAGTTCTCCGCGCTTAAATTTGCCTTTGGTTTATTTAAAAAGGAGTGCTCGGTACAGGCTCATTTGCGGATAAATTTCGAGCGCTCTGATACAGCCTTTAAGTGCTCTGCGCGCTCGCTGGTAACGTGATAACGGCTCCGTTTCAGCAGGGCGCTTCAGCAAGAGATATGCTTCCACCCTTGGGGTGGATTTTCATGCATCCGTTTTTCCGACGAAATATGTCCGTTTAACATTCTATTCTGTCATAATCGTATATAAATATGTCAAAATAGAATAAGACTTTTCGGACATATTTCGACGGAAAAACGGATGCATGAAAATCCTCCCTTAGGCGAGCCGCGACCAATGAAGAAATGCCGCGGCCCCCGAATTCCTATTATCCCCATCACCAGTGGCGACGCGTGACTTGCAGTCTGGGGGGAGGGGTAATGGGAAGATGCGCCCCCTCGCTAACGCGCCGCAGTCGAAATTTTTTGCAACTTCGCCAACTTCAATATTATTATGTATTTTCTTTTGGGCCTCGTGATTTTTCCCTTGATTATTGGATCCTGGGGGGGAGTAATTACCCCCATTACCCCCCCGACGCGACGCCCCTGCCCATCACAAACCGGAACATGTGTTTCTGCGGATATTTTGGGGAATTTTTTAGGTTAGGATTCTCAGGATAGTGAACTAATTGAAAACTTAAATTCTAACGCCTTTTGTAAATATAGAAAGTTCGAAGCCCGCTCCTCGAGCTTCATGTCGCGAGGTGGTGCTTGTGGAGTTAACTATTTGCACTCTACTTGGCTGTACCTACCCGAACGATGTGGAGCTTCCACTATATTTGCTCCCATCAGTGGCCTGACTCCTGACCTGAACGATTCTGCAGTGAAGAGTGTCAAAGGAGTCAAAAGAGCTGCCAAGCCGAACTCCACCTACTCACCTATGATAGAACAATCACAAGAAAATCAAAGGAAAAGCACTACAACAAATAAGTAAATTTTCATTACAACCTGGCAAAAAATAAACAAGATATTTGTGTTAGAAAATGTTTTTGTTGTGGTTTTGATGCACTACATGCGGGATGTTACGCTTACGCCAAAATTGGCGTAGAATTGAAGTTTACGCCGATTGCGCTAATTACGCCCATGGGGATTCGCCCTTATTACAGTTGATGAGATATTTCACGCATGTTAATAGAGAGTTCTCGTGCTGTCCAAATTTCAAATACCGTAACGCTATTTGACAAGAATGACAGTTTTTACGGTATTAGCGTTAGCCGAGCCCGCTATCTAACGGGACTTAGCGTATGCCTTACCGTAACGCTATGCTATATCAAGATTCGTTTACGCTCCATTTACGCCTGCAAGAACAGCAACTTCTTATAATTCCTGCATAAAAAACACCAAGGGAAAATTAATCAAACTCAATATCTTCAGGATAAATAAGTTAGAAAACAAAAAAAAAAAAAATTAGGTTAGATCACTCACCTCAGCCGTCAAAATGTGAACAGAATAAGGGATTAGAAGATTTATGTGTCCGAGAACTATAAAATACCATGTTAAATACCGTATTGTTAACGGTACCGTATTAGCGTAGCGTCTGAAGCACGAGAACTCTCTAATATCCTGAACGTCCGACTGAGTGCAACAATTTCAAATAAAGCCCCCCTCTGTGAACCTTACCCAACGTTTACTCTTGTATCGTACTGCCTTGAAATTTTACTCCAAACAGTCCAAAGGTGTTTTCTCGCGTCTCAAAGTTTCGAAACATTTTTGAAAACGTTTAAGGGCGGGTATTATAAAACTACTTTGAGAGTTAACTTAAAGTTAACTTCTGGAATTACATGTAATTCAAAAAGTTAACTTAAAGTTAACTGTCAAAGCAGTTTTATACCTACCCGCCCTAAAACAGTTTCACAATGACGTCATGACTTCTCGGCACGAAAATAGTTATTTAAACAACAAGTTTTGAAAACGACTTTTTTCGCACGGCGAGACAGTTTGTTGGACCGAGCCGTAGGCGAGTTCCACAAGTCGAGCAAGTGTGAAAAAAGGTTTTCAAACGAGTTTTTTACAATGCTTTTCCTACAACTGCAAAATAAAACAACCAAATATGTAATTTCCATTTGTTAGAAAACTTGAAGCGTGTGAAAAACTTTTTCGCACGCTGAGGAGCGTGTGAAAAACTTTTTCGCACGCTAATATGCGTGCTCTAATTTGAGAGGTTACCTAGCGTGCGAAAAACTCCATTTTCAGAGGCAGTCGTAGGAAAAATGGTTTAAAAACGTGAATTGACGTTTTCAATCAAAAGAGATGGACAATAAAGTATGAAAACAATCATTTTCCCGCCAACATTTGCTTGCTTGTCAATGCCAGTTTGTATTGGGTGTTTTGAAAGAAATTGTGGGAAAAGTTACTACTTCATTTGCAGAACTTCGCTATGGAGAAAGCGGTGAATTCTTTGGAAGCAAACAGCTCCCGCAAACTAAACTTGAACGTGGATTACTTTGTTTACTTGATGGGCCGTGGATTCCCTTTTTTTTTGCGAGTATTCTTTCTGATTTTATGTATCCAAAATTTGACAAATGTAGGATTTGATGGAAACTTATGGAAAGACACGTCCGCCGGTAAATAGGAATTATTTTTACAATAAGGCACACTACACAATCACCACTGTTAGGAAAAAACTTTGAAAAAACCGAGGAAATAATAGTTTCCAGTTTCCACATGTACAAAAGTTTTGTCAACAAACCACTGTCAGCGGCTGTCAACCGTTGTTTTCATACTCTTTTGGCGTCTGACAGTTTGACGCCAGAGAGAGAGGCTTTTAAATTGAAAAGGTCAATGGCAGCCTTTGAATATAAAACTACAGGAAGGAGCGTTGTCTATCTGTCACTGCAAACAAAAAAGCGACGGAAGCCGCCATTTTGAGCCTCCAAGTTTGGACTCATCATTTGTTTTGGTGGTTCCCTGTGTCCTCATTTAAATGGATGTTTAATGGATTTTAGCGGTTTTAAGTGATGATAAGTACTGGAATTAGTGAGAAAAGAGTGAGTCATAATATTGACAATCATATTTAAATAAATATACGCTACTGCCAAACCGGAAATACTAGTCGGCCATATGCAACCTCCACATATTTTGGTCGCGCAGATTCGAAGTTATGCTCCTTCCTGTAGTTTTATATTCAAAGATGGCAGCAAATATCCAGTTAAGTTCCATACAATGTTGTAGAGGGCGTGAGTGAACTTGGAGTGCTTTGAATTTTGGCGGTAAATGTCAATAGTTTTAAACCGATTTAATAAGTGGAAAGAAAGATGACTACATATGAACAATGAACAGTGAATAGGTTAAAATATCTTCCAAAACGTTCAGTGGCCCTTAAAGAATATTTTCAAAAGTGTCAGCGTCAGCTTGTCTCGAAACCACATATCAAATTTGACATTTGAGGTTAAAAGTACATTCGATTATTCACGCGCCAAAATTTAAAAAGCTCCAAGTACAGAAGCGCCCTCTTCAACTCAACTGTCAATATTACATGCCATTGGATTGTATTTCGAAACGGTTTGATCCAAAGTATATGTGACGTCATGGGTACATTGCGAGAATATATTATGTCAAACCTGTTTTGAACCATTTTCAAAAAAGTGAACGCAAGAAAACAGCTCAAGCTCTTGTAACATGCGTCGAAAGCCTTCCACCGTTAGACACAGCGATTTATGGCATCGTAGCGGTGCGCTCGTGACAAACATGATGACCACACGCACACCGTTCGGGTCAAAGTCCGTTTTGACCAGCTTCAAAACGAGAGGCGTATTTTAGCGAGAGTTTTAACCCAGTAGTATGTTGTATTTACTTGGGATACTACATTTTAGCGAGCATGGCTAACATACTATGACGTCACAACATAAAACACAACATAAAACTCGGCTGTAAACATGTAAACATCCTAGGAGGGATAGTTACTGGTTGTAGTATGTCAGTGCATCTTTTTCTAATACACAAAAATGAGCATATGGGCAAAACATCAGCTGATTACGCTACGATTACCAACACAGTTCTTTCCATTATAAATAGAGGATTGTTTTTCCACATTCTGCCATGGTTTTCTGTGATTTTATTTTAGAGTTTTTTTGCAAAAAAAATTAAAAATCTTTACTTGTGCACAAAAGTGTAATTTTATTTTTTTTTTGGCATAGGGTACCCATAAAATTCAAAAATACCACAATCTATCGAAAATCTTCACTGGAGAAAATATTGAAACTCGAAAACGCTAAATTTTACAAAATTCAACAAATCCAAATAAACAACGATCATGGCGTCCTCTCTTAGACCCTTTGTCAAATACACTCCACCTGTTATTTGGGTAACTATGACGTCATGAATCGTAGTATGTGTAGTATGATGTTTACCTGTCGCTAAAATACGCCTGAGGCTTCCAATGTTGGATACATGTTGCAGACGCTTCCACAAGAGGATTGACAGTTCGTCTGTTTTATGGTTTAAAATTTGAAATGAAACGGCACTGACAGCGATACTCCCTTTGTTGCAGGTTTGCTTCAATGTTGGAAGCGATGTTTGTTTCATTGTGTAGCGGACACATTTACCAAATGCTAGAGTGCCAAACTTGTACCCAACGTTGGATCCAACGTTTTCTTGCAAGCTGTAAAACGGCCTTCAAGCTTTATCTTCGCGAAAAATTGCCTTGTCAATAGCGAGACACCCCCGGCGGGCTAAGCACTACTCCGGGGTAAACATAGCAACTGGACACGCTTACCCTGGAGTAAAAAGCAACCCGGACGTAACTCGCTCTCGCTATTCACCTTAGATTCTATTCACCATATTAGTTAGGTTAGGAAAAATGAGGCGCGAAATTTAAAATGGGTTCCTAAACACATTTCAGCAAATTTGACAGCAATGTATTTCTTATGGCGTTTCCGATTGGTAGATTTAGTGCGGAACTAGTGCAATTTTTCTATTTCTGTCTTTTTTTTCTACAGGTCGATTAAAAGGATGCAAATACACTCAGTGCTCACTGAATCTACCAATCGGAAACGCCATTAGGGAGGAGTGACTTCTGCACTGTCCAGACAGTGGTGACTGAAAACTATCTGCACTGACCAGACAGTGCCGACTAAAATCTATCATCACTGTCTAGACAGTGCCGACTGAAATCTGTCTGCACTGTCCAGACAGTGCCGACTAAAAATCATCTGCACTGTCCAGATAATTTCATTATCATATCATATAGAGTTATAGTTATATTCAAAATGGCTTGCATTCCTTGCTGCGATTCAGTGTATTAATAGTTATTTTTATATTAAGTGCGCAAAATAAGTTTTTCAATGGTACCTACCTGAGAGTGTCAATTTTCACAGGTCAGGTCGAGGCCAAAAATTTATTCGAAGACACAAAAGTCACATACAAACTACAGTCAACATATTCTTTCCTACAAGCGTGCGCAAAGTAGTACTTTTCACGGAGTGCGGAAAAGTATAACCTTGAGCATGGAAATGAATGCGGAAAAGTACTACTTTGCGCACGCTCGTAGGAAAAATGTAATTTGTATTTTGTATGCGACATTTTTGTTTATGGGCACCTTCGAATGAATTTTTGGCCTCGACCTCACCTGTAAAAATTAACACTCTCAGGCACCATTAAAAAAACACTCATTTTGTCGAGCATTTTGCGCATACAAACATATCCATTATTTCATTATTACACTGAATCCCAGCAAGGAATGAAAGCCATTTTGAATGTAACTATAACTATATGATATAATATGAAATTATCTGGACAGTGCAGATGGTTTTTAGTCGGCACTGTCCGGACAGTGCACAAATAGATTTCAGTCGACACTGTCCAGACAGTGCTGATAGATTTTAGTCGGCACTGTCTGGTCAGTGCAGATAGTTTTCAGTCGGCACTGTCTG